ATTGGGAACCCCTATTTTAGAGGATTATATAGAATACTTTTAGATATGTCATTATACATTATACTTTATACATTCTTTTTACCTTGATGTAAAGTAATACATCATCAGTAAAAGATGTGGAAAGATAACATACAACGGTACTCTAAATGTATGTGGTGCAGCTGGGTCCAAACATCACTCTGTTTCATTTATATTGTAGACAACACAACCCACCCAAAAACTGAATACCTGACAGCACAGTCAGTTTGGCAGTGCTTGTGACTGATCCATAATCATTGCTTGCCATGCATGCAAAGATTCCTGCATCTTCAGGAAAAGTCTCTGCAATCACCAAAGTACATATCTCTTCTAAAAAGCAACCAAAAGAAAAAAAAACAATTTTGCATTAGGTTTCACATAATTAGCTTTGGAATTCATAATATTTAGCCTCAATCTTAGATCTAGGACAAAAATAAAATGTACAACAATGATTTGCTTTATTGGGAGGCTGCCTTTCTTGATGATCATCTTAGCCCTCTGCTCTTTTAAATTGCTATAAGTAGTTAAAGCAAACACTTTGTTCTTTCCATCCTAAACCATTTACTAGATATTAAAAGCAGTCTAAATCAAGCTTATCATCTAATCAAGCCAGAGTTCTCAAGATACAAGTGACTAAGCTCAGATTCTCCTACTTTGGATACATTATGTGAAGATCTAGCTTCTTAGAGATGGTTCTAATAGTGGGAATAGTAGAAGAAAAGAGAAGAAGAGGTATATCAGAAAGATCAGATTACAGATAGATCATCATGGAAAAAAATCTATGTTGTCATCTAAGAGGTGACAACAACTTTATACCACATAATGCCATCTAACCCAAGAAGACTGACTATAAATACAAAAAGCTATTGATGCATATGGCAAAGCAACTAATAGCTGTAGTGCACCATAAAGTTACAACAGTTCACTCAGCAACTGTTTAAAGTTATGACATACCCCTCCCCAAATACTTACGACCCAAAGTTACAAATGTTACAGCACCATGGCCGTCATTCACACTTACAAATGACAGCAGAGGCACTACAGCATTCACCCTGCCTACCCCCCACCTCCACCGGGACTCCACAGCTATTGGGCCTGTGGAAACTCACTTACCTTGTTACAAACTAGTGAGCCATCAGTTCTTTTGCCTGCTTCAGTGCATATGCAGAAAATAGAGGCTTAAAGTAGTGAGAGATCATGCAAGATCAGTAGTGTGAAATCTCTGCTGTCATTCGTAATTAACTTTACAAACAGATAAAGTAACCTGGTCTTTCTGATATATCTCTTCTTCTCGAAATCTTGCGCTACTGATCTTGCATAATCTCACACTACAGTACTTTAGGCCTCTGTTCTCTATGAACCAAGGCCTGCACAACATCCACTGCAAAAGGCTTTGCAGAGGGAAGGCCTCATGTGCACTTACAACCAGCGCATTTGATTAGCAAATGTATGGGTGAAAGGAGGGAGTAATCGCAGTCAAGTTACGTGATTCCCTCCTACAAATCCTTGGGTTATGAATGTACTTGGCAGGCTCTATTACATTTGTAACTCAATGACTGCCTGTATTTTATTGCAGATGAGCCTTACGTTAAAATTGGCTTGGAATTGGATGCTGATAAAAAAATACAACATATGGAACAATAATTAATTCCCTCTAAATTCAGTTGGCCTTTCCTGTGACTGCTTCAGGACTAATTCTTCTCCTTACCCAAGATACTCAAGCATTCAGAAGCACTAATGGTTTATAGTATGACAATTTTACAATATATACCTACACATGTGTGTACATATCTTCTATTATAGCCATTCTTAAGCAGCTTATGCCAAATAAGATTAAGATAATGTATTTACTATGTAATCATCCATAAAATTTAAAAATTCTAGTTAAAATAATTCAGTTCAGATGGGTATCAAGGCTCTTGAGTTAGCACATAAAAGCCTTTTTCCCAATAGCCAGAAGTACAATTGAAAACTCCTGGTTATTTGGGCAACCAGGGTATTTGCTTACATTCCAACCTTTTTATTCATTTAAGAAAGGGCTAAAATCTGCACCCAAATACAATCTAACTCAATCTTTTCTAGACTGTACCTTTATTTAGAAGCAATGCCAGCCTGAACTAACTATCACTTGGCTTTCCAGCGTCATCTGCTATTCTGAATATTCTTTTCTAATAATAAATTACATAATTCAGGACTTCTATACTAATTGTCCACCGACACAGACCAAAATAAAATCTTGTATCCCCGCATTTATTATAAGTCCTTCCCATCTTATTACTTTAATAAATTCTGTTTAATGGCAAAAAGTGTCTAGGTTCATACATTATTTGCTTTAAACATAGTTTTTAGTCAAACCTTAATGATCCAATGCATAGATAATGTTAAGTATTGGCTGCAGCTAACAAATAGCAAGTTAATTACATCATCCCCATTGTGTTTCATATTAATTGAGAATACCAGCCTTTGAGCCAAGTTTTTAAAACTCAGCTTTAATTAGCTAATATGTGTTCATATTGCACATTATGCAAAGTTAATTTCATTTTTTCTCCCTGAAAAACAAATCTAATTTTCTGCTAAAACATGCCTGCATGATGTGTTTGTAAACAACTTTGTAGCATCATCTAAAAGATGATGCAGAATTGCTCCAAAGGGAGGGAAAATAGTTTTTAAATATGAATACTGCATACTCAAAATAATTTAATGAGAAATATATCATAATGCCCTCTAATTATCTTGTACCCAAAATCAGTGTGGTTGATGTTTCACTTGGAGTTCTTAAAAAGAAAGGCATGATTTACTTCTAAATTGCAATCTAAGATCTATAAACACATTCCCCCTAAAGTCAGTGACATATTTTTATTTGAAACTGTTTTCATTTTTGGAAATAGTGATACATAGCCATGTATTGAAGATATCCTATGTTGGAGATGGCCTGAATGTAAAAGAAAAAATTGGTATGTTCTTTAGACACTGAATGTAAAAGAAAAAATCGGTATGTCCTTTAGACACTTCAACAGTTTCTGTTGACTTACAGAATAGTCTGAAAAATATGGTAAGGCTTGATATTACTTGGAATTACATGCATTAATTTTAGCTGATCTAAATAACAATGAAATATAAAAAATAAGCAGACTGTATTTGTCTCCCCCAGTTACAGAGATCTTACGATATAAGCAGTATTAAACAAGTTATTTCTGTAAAATTCAATGTGATTATTATATGGAATACAATTTCATGTATCTTGATAAAACAATTATATTGATTAGCAACTGCCCAATTCTCAGTAAATAGTGTGATATTAATATGGCAATAAAAATTACAGAGAGAGTTGGTTAAACACCTTCTGCAATTAATATATAGATTTTGTTTGCTAAGAAGCCTTTTCTAGATCCATGAAAACAGAAGATAGTCGGAGACTAAGAGAGTTTGATAAAAACTTGGAGTGGGTTTTACTATGTGAATGTTCAAAATATAAATCCAATGAAATAAAGTATTCTGAAAACTTTTATTATTTAACAAGTCCCTGATGATCCATTGACCAAAAAAGAAAGATATTGATTTTTTTAATGTATCAAAATACAATTGTGTTAAAGAAATTCAATATTCTTTGTGGCTCCTTCCAGACAGCTGAGTAATGGCCAAAGCATCAGCAGCTGGCAAATGATTCTGTAGATCTCTTTTTCTCCTTCGTTAAAGGAACTTTACTTTGAAGGAGTCAATCCACATAAAGTCAAAATGTCAAAATAACATAGTACTGAACAGGTCATTTGACAAACTGTGTTGTTGGCCTTAAATAATTTGTCTGGCTATTAATTTTTCAAACAGTCTGAAAACATTTGTTGTTGCAGGCTGATTTCTGTCTAGACAAAGAAAGGAGTGTAAAACACATTAAGCTGATAGAACTTAATGATTTAAAAAAATCTGTTTCATAGATTTTCAATTTCCTGAATCTCCAAAGTTTCTTCCCTTCCCCTTTCTTCTGCTTTTAATTCCCTAGTGCCTAACTAGGGGCGGTAAGTTACAAATGTCATGTATCAGAAATGTATAAATAGCAATTATCCTGTTTCCTATTTATTACTGTAGGTTTTTAAAACATACCATCAGTACAAAAAATAAACCCTTGGGGCAGAATGGGGCAACTCACCGCTGCCAACTCAACACCACCATCTTGCCGTGGCCAACTCACCACAGCCAACTTGCTGCGGGACAATTCACCATGGAACAACTCACCATAGGACAGGTCAGAAATTCAATTTATTTTTTTAAAATAATTTATAAATTATTTTAATGTTTGACATTCACATTTCATTTTATCCCTCCTTTTGCATCCTTTCTTTAATGATTTTATTCCACCATTTCTTTGATACTAGTGTAACTCTTGACCTGTAGTGAGTTGTCCCATGGTGAGTTGGCTGTGACAAGTTGTATTGCAGCAAGTTGGCCATGGGAAATTGGTTGTGGCAAGTTGGCAGTGGCACGTTGGCTACAGTGAGTTGTTCTAGACCCACCTTGGGGACTGGAATAAACATTCAACTAAACCCCATGAACTGTAATATGTATTTTAGTTTTCCCTAATTCTTATAAAGTTATTATTGGAAAGAGTGAGCTCCAGAGCTGTACCAGTTTAACCCTCATCCCTCCAAAGAAACTAATATTTATAAGATCATATGAAGAAAAGACTGCCTCCAAAAGAGTTGCTTATTACTAGCTCTTTACAAAATATTTTAACTACGACACAAGAAATCAATACTTTTAAAAATGTGATGCTTACCAGGTTCTGCTGTAGAACGTGGTTCTATTTATGACATCATCCAAACCACAGGTTAAGGAAGAGAAGCAGGAAGAATAAAGTGCATTAGAAATGTTATTATGCAAAAGATAACAAGCCTTAGAATTTTAAGAACTTTAAATTCAGAATACAGTTAAAAACAATAATCATTTCACATTTGTATATTTTTACTGCATGTCTACTTTAATGGGAAAATAATCGGCACTTGCTTTTCTTTTCTTTCTTTAAACAAAGTTTTTATTTTTTACAACAAACATACGAACAAAACATAAAAACATAAAACCCTCTTTCAATTATATACATACATTGTGTCAGTTGGTTACAATCTTTTGTGCTATCATTTTTTTACCATTACTCACAAGTTATATAAATCCTCACCTTATCAATCTAGCTTGTGCTTATATAATATCAATTATTAAATATTCATTTGACTATTTTTCCATCATTTTATACGAGATATTCTAATTTTCATTATGATTTGATCTTATACATTCATCCAATGGTTATATATTTTATATTGTATTCTATATCAATCTATTAACTTTTATTATAAGGCTTACTAATCTATTTCTTTACCATGTCTTTTTATCTAACCATTGATAAAATAAATCCCATATCATATAAAATTGTTTATCCTCTTGTTCTCTAATTTCAAATGTCAATTTACTCATTTCGGCAGGCACTTACTTTTCTGAAGAATTCGGAAGTCTGGAGAATCATGAATTTCAACCCCTTGACGAAACCAGAGAACGTGCAAGGAAGGTGCTCCTCTTACTCTACACTCAAATACAACTACTTGTCCTTCATTTGCTGTTGAATTTTGAAGTTCCTGAAAGTTTGATATACAAATAAGCTAATGAAAATACAGAAAATACAGAATGTTTATCAGAAAAATACAGAGTGTCAATCAGAAAAAGTAACATTATAACGGCAAATTATAACACCAACATTGGCAATTAACAGCAGCTGTTGAAATCTTTTACTTGTTTATTATTTATTATGTTATTATTTTTCCAATTCTTTATTTGGATAGTGCAGCTTTTATTTCCAACTAAACTAGCGCAGGGGTCCCCAACCCCTGGTCCATGGAGCAGCATCAATCCGCAGCATGTCAGAAACCTTATCATGCAAAAAAGCGAAGCTCCATCTGCAGGATACAGGCAGTACACCAAACTACACCCCTTCCGGTCCATGGAAAAACCTCTCTCCACAGAACCAATCCCTGGTACCCAAAAGGTTGGGGGTTGCTGAACTAGAGTCTTAAGTCTAGGTCAGGGGTGTCAAACTCAAGGCCGTGGGCTGGATCCAGCCCATGGAGTGCTTAATTCTGGGGCAGCCGTGGAAACGATGAAGGACTGGCCTGCGGTATCTCTTCCAGCAAAAATGGAGCTTGGATGACCTCCTCCAGCCCTTTGCCAGCAAAAATGGACCTGCGCATGGCCCCCCGAGCTCCGTTTTTACTCGCAGAGGGCTTCAGGAGGCCATCCAGGCCAAAAGCAAGGCTGGCAGAGGGCTTCAGGAGTCTGTCTAGGCCAACCCCACCCCCTTCATTTTCGCTGGCAAAAAGGGCTAGCAAAACAAACTAAAAGCAAAACAAAACAAAAGGAGAAATATTTCCCCTTTTGCATTTGAACATCTAAGAAAGGACAGGAAAGGAGAAAGGGAAAGAGGAAAGACAAAGAAAAAGAAAGAAAGATTGGAAGAGAGCAAGGAAGGAAAATGAAGGGAAAAGGGGAGGAAAGAAGAAAGGAGAATGAAGAGGGAAGGAAAAAGAAGGAAAGGAAAGGAAAGGAAAGGAAAGGAAAGGAAAGGAAAGGAAA